AGGCATTTATATATCATCCTCGCCTTCGGAGCTGTCGCTAGAGTCATCTTGTAGAGGAATTACAACGGGATTTACAGGAGGCAAAACACAATATTCATTTTCTTTTTCAATAATATGCCTAGAACACTGCTTCCATAGGTCTGTGGCAGCAATATGAGATACTGCATCTCTTATTGTGGCCAATAGCGTTTCACTTAATTGAGGGGTCTGATTATGTTTTCTTACTTTTTTTTAAAGCAGCCCAGACCAACTCAATCGGGTTAAAAATGCAGTAATAGGGAGGTAGACGTAATACTTCATGGCCATTTTGCTGAAGCAGATTGTCAACAACATACTCTTTTTCAAATTTTTGTCTTTTAATAAGATCCAATAATATGGCTTTGGTTGATTTTTGTGGTATTTCCATTCCCTTATCCTTCATAAAATCAATAATGTCTTGTTTTTTTGTGCCTGTATTCGGAATTTTGTTTTTCTGTCGGGAATGGTATGGCGCATTGTCCATTATAATCACTGAATTTGGGGAAATGTTTGGTATTAACTGCTGCTCTATCCACTTTTCAAATAAGTCGGAGGTCATGTCCTCATGATAGTCGGCACATGATTCTTTGGTATTTTTGGCAGATAACAGCAAGGCATTAGGTATAAATCCATTTTCACTGCCAGCATGGAGAATAATGATTCGTTTTCCACGGTTGCATGGTGCATTTAAAATGCACTTGTTGCTGTCGTCAACCCAGCCGTACTGCACAACATCATGGGTATCATACCACGTTTCATCCAGGTAAATCAGATTTCTTTTCTGCTCTCTATAGATTTCAACTTTGTGCAAAAATTCTTGGCGCAATTCAACGATTCGAGACGACTCCATAATCACCATTCTTTTATCTAATTTTTGTATTGAAAACCACACAGTTTTACAATACAGTGCAGTGAGTCTAAGCATTTGTAATTATAAAAATCTTCAGGATAATCTTTTAATTTATCCCGTATCATTTCCAACGTGGGCACCAAATTTTCTTTATAAAATCCGTATATTATACGACGAATATCTTCCTGAAAACCCACGTCTATTCTTTTTAATTTTTGCCCTATGCGCTTTCTGTGGAAGGAATGGTTGACTACATCTCCCCTTTTTATAACCCGATAAATGGTAGACCGACTGATTTTTGTCAGGATACAAATTCTGTTTAAAATTTGATTTTGCGAGGAATCTGGATTTTCGTTTTTCAGACAATCATACATATTTAGGATTACTCTTTGGGTCTGTTCCTCTAAATCTTTATGAAAGAATTCTGCCTGCACAGGTTCATCAACCATCTCCTCGTGGCTTGGAGCATTTTCCCAAGGTCTCCAAAGAGCCATATTTAGGACACACAAGAACAATCAACACAACAATTAAATCAACAAGTAAACTGAGTATTCAAAAGTCAAAAACACACAAACTAATAAAATCTATGAAAAAACACGGACAGACTAAAGAAAACACGTTTATTCACCGCTACACGGCACTGGCTAAACTGTTCCAATTTTCAGTAGCCACCTGCACTTGTTCGGAGCTCTGAAATACACGCTTTCTCATTGGCTATGTCCACGCATAGGCGTGCTTTACTCCACGTGGACCGGTGAAACTGCCTTTGATCTTATACGGGGGATATTTGCTGCGAAATTTGGCGATTTTTGCAGCAACAGAGCGTGTTAAATATAGATATATAAAACGCACCCGGTATATCACAGTGTTTCAAGTGACTTCAGATAAAGTATACATATGACAACATTGTGATATTCACAAACAAATTGTTTTACGGCTCCAGTAGAGATACACAAAAACACTCATCGTCCATCAGGAACGCAGCACTTGTAAGGCATTTTGAAAACGGGAAAACAATCGCGCAATACGAATATAAGTTTTAGTTTAAAGTTTAGACAGGAAAAGAAAAACTATTCATACGGGTATGCATATCATGATGACAGCTGAGAACTTGAGGTTTGAGGTTAAGTCAACTGTAGACTGTAGGGATGACGATCTGAGATGGATTAAATTTGCTGACTATCAATAAAGGTACCTCTCAAACTTCTTGAAAGGTACAATAAATTTCACCATCGATAGATACACTGTGGCACGTCGTCTGAACCGAAAAACTGTAAACACACGGCACCCGGTATCACTAGACAATAGACTGCTATAAGCACAAAGTCTTGCTATATTGTGGAGGTCTTGTCTCTTTAGGATGGATGTATATAAACGTTCACGTAAAATTATGGCACTAATCAGGGCTTACAATCATATTTATCCTATTTAAACTGATGATGACTTTTGTATACAAACTGGTAAAAGTCTACGCCTAATTGCCCTAGCTGCGGGTATACTCGTAAATTACAACGTTGCCAAAGCATGTTTGATTGCTATTTTGATTATAGTCCGGTAAACTTCGGGATATAGAAATTCTGGATCTATTCAAAAACGTTCGTTACGATTCCTAAAAAAGGATAATTCTATTTGGCGTGATCCAATATTGGATGAAGCGATCGGCATAAAGAAGAAAACTGCACGTTTTGGACGTTCCGCTAGCACGCGCTTGCTTTCGTAATATGATCATACCTACAATACCAGGAATCCCGAATCTCGTGCTAAAATCAAAATACATCTGTCAAACTCAAAATATCTGCGTATCTTGAATTTTTCTAATCTGCCGAGTTAAAAAAATGCGATCAGCTAACGTGTTGTATATCGGATTAATCAGGAGACTTTGGTCTTTCGTTTTGCGATAAAAAATCGTAGCTATGTCGATTCGTAACGAAGGTTTGTATCGAAGAAGACAAAGTACGCCGAAAAACGGCTGTCATCGGTACTTTTGAGGCGCAAAAAGTTTACTTATTCGAAATTTGACGGGAATTCTAACGGTCGGGATCGTTTCCTAAGCTTAATATCTTTATTTTCAAATCGCTATATAATTTTTACTTGCTTACGTATAGTAGTAATAGGCCAAGACACAGCCGGAAACATGGACATGAATCGGAAAGGAGTACTTAGTCGAATTTAAAAAAAATCGAAACTTTCGAACGAAAAGGGATAAAGAAATAAAAAAACACGCTATCTCAAAGTCCGATGTCCGGGCTTTCTCACGCAAAAATCGTCAGGTTCGTAGCTCCTCTATCTTCGGAGGAGATAGAAAGTGCACGTCGAACAGCACGAAAATCTACCGTTTTTTCGACTTTGACAGCCGTTTTCGATCGCGTTTCTTCCTCTTACGTCGCTCGCCCGTAAAGCGCCGAATTTCTAGTTTCCGAAACGGTATCGCTTTCCGTCGTAACGTTTCGCGAACCCTGAAAACAAAACGGAAAAACCGCGTCGATGTCAAACGCTGCGATCCACTCTTGACACCTAAAACCTACCAAAAACAAATGATCACGGCTTAATATCTCACTCATCACTGATGCGCAAATCGATCTTTATAGCAGTTGCTACTCGCTCTTGTACACATGACTTGAGTAACAGGGCCATCGTTATTCATCAACTTTCTGAACGTAATTAACACCTGAAGCTTATCCTGTGGTTTTTATGTTGATAGGGCTCCATGATTGTCTGTCCAAATGAAACCACATATGTATTAAACACTTTTACTGACATTTTGGAAATATAAAAATATTGACAATGACAATATATTTTTGATGGATGACATAAAAATCAAAAATATATAGAACAGTTTTAAGCAATGAGCATCGTGACCACGGTTATTCCTTGGTTATGACCTTGATTCTTGATTATTCTGTCATTTGCCCTTCTCACACAGAACAGAGAGCTGAGAATAGAGTTGCTACACGCAACTGTTTTTTGGTCCAACGACAGCGATTATAAATATAATTCAAGTATAAGTAAATGCTTTATTGAGATATTAACAACGCACCTAATTACTTTTTAAATTCTGCCCAAAAAAAGAATGAACGACTTCATAGTAACTTAGTAGTTCTACGCCCATTGTCAGTTGATAAATGTTTACAGAAAACATAAGTCACAGGTGACACAAAACAAACACACAAGAATAGGAAACGGTTGTGTTATATTCATTGGTTGACAAATGACAATTGACGTTCAGCACCGCAGACAAACCACCACATGTCATCATTTGACAGCGGTCACAAACCCCGTCGCTTAAAATAGACAAGTTAAAACCGAACACGGCCCGTTTAAGATTGCTTATTGTCATTAACAATATAATTTTGATGGAGACCTTTCTGAAAGTACTCCAATAACTTTAACAAAAACCGTCCATTCTTGGTGTTTTCAGGCGCTGTTATGTTTTGTATCAAAGAACAACTTATATGACACGCGCATGACAAGTAAGTTGTCACTCTGACAGTGACAAGGATGGATGTGGACAGCTCATGCGTTGACCAGAAAATTTCCAAGGCGACGAGACAAAACTAAAAAATGACGTCAAGTAGGTTGACTCTGCACTCAGTACACCGTCATCATTTCATAAAAGATTAAGTTCAGCCCAATTTAAATCGTCTGAGAAAAAATCGATCACGATCATGTACTACAGAGAAATTAAACGGATCAAGTCAGGCAAACAGGCCCATGTGATGTCTATGTCATCTAAGAATTCAGAAATATGTACACATGAAACGTGCGGTACGTAGAATTTGGGTTAGGATATGGGTTCCGCGTTAGATTTTATAAAAATACTCCTAAATTGTAAGTTTTCTGTATACAGGGTGTTTCAGAAAGCACGTACCAACGTTTCTAGGGTACAACGTCCATTCCAAGATAACAAAAAAGTTCTTATAAATATGGGTCCAAAGATGCTCCCGTAGCGAGATACAGAGTGATGAAGTTTTATTTGCGTAATTCAAAAAAAAAATCTACAGAGCGGGTAAAGATACTGTGTTGAGATTTTTAATGTTTAGTGAGCATATCATCAGCAACAAACACAGAGTTTCACGGCCCAAACTAAACCAGGGACGTAGAGACGTAATAAACTAGCATGTCTCCAACTCACCTTAAGCAGCCTCAGCTGGTCCAAAGTCAACTCCTTTAACGGAATCTCCAGCATATCAGTGTCCTGCAGCTCCTTCTTCTTTTTCATGGAAATACACACGTGGAAATCGTGGTAGATGATCGGCACCAAGTCCTTGCTCAGCTGCACGTCGAACTCGACAAAGTCCGCGCCGTGATCTATAGCGTTTTTCAGACTAGCAATCGTGTTTTCTCGCACCTCGGCGCAATTCTGCACCTTGTTCTTGAAGCTGGAACCAGAGCCGCGATGGCCGACGTCCAGCCCTTGTCGCGTTTTCTTCCAGTGTCTCGCGTACGAGATGCTCGTGTCGCATTTGAAGTTGGGAAGAGGGCCGATTACGATGTAATCTATGCGGAGCTGGCCTAAGGGCCTGTGTTTTGTACTTGTTACGGGCAAGACGACGTTGCCCTCGGAATTTTGTAATACGCTGGGCAAGAGATAGCTGAAACCGGCGTGGTACGGAGGTTCCCCGTCTCCGCACCTGCAATAAAGGATCGTGTCAAGTGGGCAGACTCGACCACATAAATAAATTACGTAGATATAACACAAGTTTATCTACAAGGTATCCCAGAAGTTTGGAAACTAAGGGTACGAGAAAAAATGAATTATTTATGTTCATTTTGCAATTATTAAATTTCCAATAAAACATAGTACGTATTTAATATTTTAGGTTTATTATTTTCCCGCGCTGGGCTGTTAGAAAAAATCTTACACTTGCGGCAAGTGTATTTTCCACACTTGTTAAGTAAATAACTAGAAGAAATCAAATGGCGCATCTAGCGGTGCACTAGGTCATTTCAAGGACAAGTTGATTTTTCCACATGGGAACCCCCATTTCCTATTCCAGAAATGACAAGCCAAAAAAAATTCCTTTTAAACCGTATAAATATCACAGGAGCTAAAATTACTCCTAGAGGTTATTTCAAGGAGAACCGTTGTTCTTTCATGAAATATTGTGAATTAACGGATGACTGGAAAACGAATATTAAAGAAGGACTTTTAATGCGAAAATTGCAAGACAGCCAAAGACACATCTAATGGTGGCCTTCATTCTGACCTTAGCTATGACCCCGAACGTCCATTCAAGGTTACATTGATTTTTTCACATGGAAGGTCACCATCAGATGTGCCGTTGGACGTTCTGGAAATTTCATATTAAAAATTCTTTGAAATTATTCTTTTTGCAGCTATCTGCTGCTTCACAAAATTCCACTAAAGAGCAACAATTGACCTAGAAATTTCTGGCATCCTTGGTATGCGAGTGTGTCCACTTATGGGATACACTGTATATAAGATTTTTCGGATAACACATCCGCCGCGCTGTTAGAAAAAATCTTATACCTAACGCTTGCGACAAGTGTATTTTCCACACTTGTTAAGTAAATAACTAGAAGAAATCAAATGGCGCATATAGCGGTGCCCTTGGGCTTACGTTGATATTCATCTTGAAAGTCATTTCAAGGACAAGTTGATTTTTCCACATGGGAACCCCCATTTCCTATTCCAGAAATGACAGGCCAAAAAAAATTCCTTTTTAACCGTATAAATATCACAGGAGCTAAAATTACTCCATGGGGTTATTTCAAGGTCAACCGTTGTTCTTTCATGAAATGTTGTGAATCAACGGATGACTGGAAAACGAATATTAAAGAAGGACTTTTGATGCGAAAATTGCAAGACAGCCAAAGACACATCTAATGGTGACCTTCATTCTGACCTTGGCTACGACCCCGTACGTCCATTCAAGGTTACATTGTTTTTTTCACATGGAAGGTCACCATCACATGTGCCGTTGGACGTTCTGGAAATTTCATATTAAAAATTCTTTGAAATTATTCTTTTTCCAGCTATCTGCTGCTTCACAAAATTCCACCAAAGAGCAACAATTGACCTCGAAATTTCTGGCATCCTTGGTATGCGAGTATGTCCACTTTTGGGATACCCTGTATATAAGATTTTTCGGATGAACGCATTCGCCGCGCTGTTAGAAAAAATATTATACCTAACGCTTGCGGCAAGTATATTTTCCACACTTGTTAAGTAAATAACTAGAAGAAATCAAATGGCGCATCTAGCGGTGCCCTTGGGCTCACGTTGAAATTCATCGTGAAGGTCATTTCAAGGACAAGTTGATTTTTCCACATGGGAACCCCCATTTTCTATTCCAGAAATGACAAGCCAAAAAAATCCTTTTTAACCGTATAAATATCACAGGAGCTAAAATTACTCCTAGAGGTTATTTCAAGCACAACCGTTGTTCTTTCATGAAATGTTGTGAATCAACGGATGTCTGGAAAAAGAATATTAAAGAAGGACTTTTAGTGCGAAAATTGCAAGACAGCCAAAGACACATCTAATGGTGACCTTCATTCTGACCTTGGCTACGACCCCGAACATCCATTCAAGGTTACATTGATTTTTTCACATGGAAGGTCACCATCAGATGTGCCGTTGGACGTCCTGGAAATTTCATATTAAAAATTCTTTGAAATCATTCTTTTTCCAGCTATCTGCTGCTTCACAAAATTCCACTAAAGAGCAACAATTGACCTCGAAATTTCTGGCATCCTTGGTATGCGAGTGTGTCCACTGTATATAAGATTTTTCGGATGAACGCATCCGCTGCGCTGTTAGAAAAAAACTTATACCTAACGCTTGCGGCAAGTGTATTTTCCACACTTGTTAAGTAAATAACTAGAAGAAATCAAATGGCGCATCTAGCGGTGCCCTTGGGTTTGACGTTGATATTTACCTTGAAGGTCATTTCTAGGACAAGTTGATTTTTTCACATGGGAACCCCTATTTTCTATTCCAGAAATAGGAAGCCAAAAAAAATTCCTTTATAACCGTATAATTAAAAAAATTACACCTAGAGGTTATTTCAAGGTCAACCGTTGTTCTTTCATGAAATGTTGTGAATCAACGGATGACTGGAAGAAGAATATTAAAGAAGGACTTTTAATGCGAAAATTGCAAGACAGCCAAAGACACATCTAATGGTGACCTTCATTCTGACCTTGGCTACGACCCCGAACGTCCATTCAAGGTTACATTGATTTTTTCACATGGAAACCCTCAAGCGCTCAAAATGAAGGAAAATTTCATGTTTAAAGGTTTAATTAACGGAGGTAGATCACAACTAGAGGTTATTTTAAGGTCAAATGAGCTATTTTCGTGAACTAGATTTTGCAATGAGATCTTGGACAGATTCTTAAAAACCCCATTTTCATCGCTGTGATCAAAATTGCGAGTTTCCATGTGCAAAAATCAATTTGACCTTCAAGGTCCAGTGAAGGTCAGGATAAAGGTCATCATCAGATGTACCGTTGGACGTCCTGGAAATTTCATATTAAAAATTCTTTGAAATTGTTCTTTTTCCAGCTATCTGCTGCTTCACAAAATTCCACTAAAGAGCAACAATTGACCTCGAAATTTCTGGCATCCTTGGTATGCGAGTGTGTCCACTTATGGGATACCCTGTATATAAGATTTTTCGGATGAACGCATCCGCTGCGCTGTTAGAAAAAATCTTATACCTAACGCTTGCGGCAAGTGTATTTTCCACACTTGTTAAGTAAATAACTAGAAGAAATCAAATGGCGCATCTAGCGGCTCACGTTGAAATTCATCTTGAAGGTCATTTCAAGGACAAGTTGATTTTTCCACATGGGAACCCCCATTTTCTATTCCAGAAATGACAAGCCAAAAAAAATCCTTTTTAACCGTATAAATATCACAGGAGCTAAAATTACTCCTAGAGGTTATTTCAAGGTCAACCGTTGTTCTTTCATGAAATATTGTGAATCAACGGATGACTGGAAAAAGAATATTGAAGAAGGACTTTTAATGCGAAAATTGCAAGACAGCCAAAGAGAGATCTAATGGTGACGTTCATTCTGACCTTGGCTATGACCCCGAACGTTCATTCAAGGTTACATTGATTTTTCACATGGAAGGTCACCATCAGATGTGCCGTCGGACGTCCTGGAAATTTCATATTAAAAATTCTTTGAAATCATTCTTTTTCCAGCTATCTGCTGCTTCACAAAATTCCACTAAAGAGCAACAATTGACCTCGAAATTTCTGGCAGCCTTAGTATGCGAGTGTGTCCACTTATGGGATACCCTGTATATAAGATTTTTCGGATGAACGCATCCGCCGCGCTGTTAGAAAAAATCTTATACCTAACGCTTGCGGCAAGTGTATTTTCCACACTTGTTAAGTAAATAACTAGAAGAAATCAAATGGCGCATCTAGCGCTGCCCTTGGGTTTGACGTTGATATTCACCTTGAAGGTCATTTCAAGGACAAGTTGATTTTTTCACATGGGAACCCCTATTTTCTATTCCAGAAATAGGAAGCCAAAAAAAATTCCTTTTTAACCGTATAATTAAAAAAATTACACCTAGAGGTTATTTCAAGGTCAACCATTGTTCTTTCATGAAATGTTGTGAATCAACGGATAACTGGAAAAAGAATATTAAAGAAGGACTTTTAATGCGAAAATTGCAAGACAGCCAAAGACACATCTAATGGTGACCTTCATTCTGACCTTGGCTACGACCCCGAACGTCCATTCAAGGTTACACTGATTTTTTCACATGGAAACCCTCAAGCGCTCAAAATGAAGGAAAATTTCATGTTTAAAGGTTTAATTAACGGAGGTTGATCACACCTAGAGGTTATTTTAAGGTCACATGAGCTATTATCGTGAATTAATTTTGCAATAAGATCTTGGACAGATTCTTAAAAAACCCATTTTTATCGCTGTGATCAAAATTGAGAGTTTCCATGAGCAAAAATCAATTTGACCTCCAAGGTCACAGTGAAGGTCACCATCAGATGTGCCGTTGGACGTCCTGGAAATTTCATATTAAAAATTCTTTGAAATTGTTTTACTCGTTTAATAATTTTATCATTATCGGAAACCTCGGACATCAAAAAATGATTCAGCATTTTGCCTTTCATGCATTTGTTTGCTTGAGATGGTAACTGTGTATGTACCTTGAACTGTAAATATAGAGATCGATGAGGAACGCTATATTGGCTGGGAACAACACAGTAGACTGGAATATCAACATGTCCTCTTTGGTGAGTTCATGTCCGAACTGCGCTTGCGGTTTGAACGTGGGATCTTCACTGCTCAGGCTGGCCACTTCGGTGAAGGCGTGCTTTGGTGTTTCCACTGCGTCCTGTGTGTCGGCGCTCAGAGATTCGTCCAGAGCCTCGGACATGCCTGGAACAATTGTAATCGTTAAAGCCGTTGTCTCAATTTTGAAGGAGAGACAGAGATAGCGGTACGTCGGATATTTACTGAGTAGCATCGTCGCGTGACACAAATCACGCGCATAAATGGGCCCATTACTTATTTTCTCAAAGACAAAACTTACTGCCTTACATTTATTCGCGTTTATATGTACAGGGTGACCAACTAAGAATGAGAACCTTTACATCGTAGAGGCTTGCGGCAGTCTTGAATCTAAAAAAGTAATGTTTCTGTGAATTCCGCCATATTAACATAACAAAAAAATACCTGATCTTTAAGTTCGAGGATAATCTGAACCTTTTTTGTTTGACAATTTTTGTTATATCTCTAAAAATAAAGTGGTGCGGGTATTCAAGTATTGCGTAAAAAACACCCTGTATCTTTGAAACGGCTGAGCCGATTTTAACAAACTTGGGCCAGTTGTAAAGAGCTATTCTTGGGCTACAAATGTTATAATATTTGAAGAATCCTTTTTTCGACATTGCGACAGAAATGGTTAATTTTCTCAAAAAAAATAAATGCCTTGGTATGTTTTTTTTCATGAAAAAGTAGCTAAATAATGTCTAAACAAGCCGCGAAAACCGCATCTTGATATGTTGTTCCTAACCTAAAATTTAGGCCAAATGAGTTTTATACAGAAATCCCTTAAATTTTTATTTTGGAAACTAAACTTTAAACTGTACCAAGTGCGGAAAGCCATTTTTGCATTCTATAAAGATATCATCTGTTCTTACTCGCGTTTATGACCAAATTAGAGCATTATGCGGTTATCAAGGAGATGTTTAATATACTAAGTGACATATAAATCCGAACACCCAGTTTAAATAGTTTTATTTTAATAAAAGTCGGTGAATGTATTTATCTTACTGTAAATAACAAGTGAAAAAATTTTCAGCCTTATCAGTTGGCATTCCGGTTTTTATACTGCGTTTTTTTAATTCACTAACGCTCTAAAAATGAATATTTCAGCCGCAGTAAAGAATCAACGTTGGCGGATTTTGGTTCTTGACATCCTTTACGATCGGTTACGATGCCTAGAGTACGGAGACCTGTACGATTTCGTCAACTTAGTGAGTTTGATAGGGGCCGTATAGTGGGACTTCGGGAAGCTGGACTTTCTTTTCGGGCAATTGCAGTTAGAATGCAAAAAACTGTAGACGCTGTGGTTAGGTGTTGTCAGGCATGGCTTCGAGAAGGCCGTACGCAAAGAGCAAGGGGCACTGGACGCCGCCGTAGAACAACAGACCGTGAAGATCGCCGCCTAAGATTATTGGCCTTAAGGGACCGTTTCTCCACTACCAGGTCCATTGCAAATGAATAGTTTGCAGAACACGGAAGACCTATTGCCATGCGAAGTGTTTACCGACGAATGAGAAGTTTTGGCTTGTTTTCATACCGGCCACACTGGGTCCTCCCTTTAACTCGAGAACACCGACGTAATCGCCTTGAGTGGTGCAGACAACGGTCACTCTGGGATCAGGAATGGAACAGTAGTGTCTTTAGTGACGAGTCTCGATTTTGTTTAGGCATGCACGATGGTCGTGCCAGGGTTGGAAAGCGACGTGGTGAAAGGAGAAATCCACAGTTTTTTGTTGAAAGACATGTTCATCACACTGTTGGAGTTATGGATTGGGGTGCTATAGCTTATGGTTCCAGGTCACCTTTAATCTTCATCAGAGGTAACATGAATGCGCAGCGTTATATCCACGAAGTTCTAGAACCCCATCTTTTTCCCTATCTTGACACCCTGGCAGATCCAACTTTCCAATAACATAATGCCCGACCACATGTTGCAAGAGTCACAATAGACTTCTTTCAACATAATGATGTCACATTGTTACCATCACCACCAAGATCTCCCGACTTATCCCCAATTGAGCACGTGTGGGATATGATGGGTAGGAGATTGCTCAATTTGCAACGTCCTCCTCAGACTCTAGAAGCACTTCGAGAGGAGTTGGTGGTTGCCTGGAATAAGATACCACAGGAGGACATTGACCACCTGATCAGAAGCATGCCTAGGCGCGTTGGAGAATGCGTAGCACATCAGGGTGCATCCACACATTATTAAAGGTCAAAGGGCTTTAAAGCAGTGCAATCATTTTCTTATTATGCTTCATTAAGTACTTATACAAAATTTTATTAAAATAAAACCATTTAAACTGGGTGTTCGGATTTATATGTCACTTAGTATTCGTGTTGGTCCAGGCAGTATTTTTGTATCTGCTGGGTGCACATGTTCTGATTCCAATGTTTTCCATATTGTTATTCAAAAAGGATCACTGTTAAGGAATCTGCATGTTGGCAGGCCAAAACTGCGTCAAAAATTTTTTAAACATTCCAAAAATTGTGTTCAAAATCAAAACGGTTTCAGATTCTTTGGGACATTCCGAACAAAAAAGTTCTTATGAAGTTAATAGTTTTCAAGATGTTAGCGATTCAATATTTGAAAAACTGCAAAATATGCCATTATCAATCCCGAAAAACAATACGAAAATATGAAAATTTTAATGCTTGATAAACATTCATTAACATATTGTTTTTCGGGGTCGAAAATTGCATATTTTGCACTTTTTAAAATATTGAATCGCTTATGTCTCGAAAACTAACAACAGTAGAGAAAAGTTCTATATCACCTTTTTGGTTCAGAATCCCACTAAAAGCACTTGGACCGAAGTAAAAAACCCAATTTTTGTAATTTTTTCAAGAACATACTTCAGAAATGTTGCAACAGAAAATATTACCTATACTATAAAGGTAATAAAGCAATTAGTTGAAATGGAAATAGCATCTCATGAGATAACCTAATTCAAAGTCAAAATAACAAAACATCTTAAAACGACTATTAAATAATGCAATAAATGTTTTTAGTAGTTTATGGCCCCGGCAGAATTAGCAATCTAACTTGCGTCGCTGTTTGTTGTGACAAGTTCGAATATTCTCAGCAAGTTGCAGCAAAAGTTCTATAACAATATTTACCATGGTATTATTATAGATATTAATTTTTTTCAACTTCCATTGCAGCGATTTGTACTGAAACCGAGACCAGAAATCATTACCAACAAGCGAGACTAGTGGCAAAACACTCATACGGAAAATATGTCATTTAAAACAATTAAACACAGGTGACTGTATAACTCATAAATAGCCCCTGAATGCATATTCTACTACTACTTTCAATTTAAATTAGAATATTCCACAGTAACAATGACAGATCATCTGACGTGTGATATGCTACTATTCTCTAAGCCTTTAGTATCAGTCTCTTATTGAGACATTTTTTTTTATTTTTTTGTTAATTATTTGAAATTTATTTCGAAGCATAAACCAAATTAACTATTAAAAAAATGAAATAAGAAGTGAAAATATCTTTCCTATTTAGGACTAATCGAATGAGTTTCTGCTTATATTAATCTATTTCTCACGATACTTCATCAAGTCAAAACGTGACAAAAATATCAGCTGATTATGAACAAGTGGCACACAACCCTGACGGATTTTTCAACGCCAAATCTGTGGATGGAGTCGTATTTTGTTGTGGTCTATTCCATTGATTTAGCTCGTAGTCCACAGAGCCCAGATGTACTATAATAATTATATATATAGGATATGTGAACAAGAGCTCTGAATACAACATTACAAACTTTATTACAAATCAAGGTCAAAACATGAAATATCGTGAGAATTAGATTACATGTTTTCCTAGATCGAAATCACGTACTTTTCGGGAAAGCGCTGTTGTGCCTGTTCAGGTTCACAGGTGTCACTTTGATGTTGATCGTCCGATTCTGGTACTTGGGCCTGAACAGCACCAACGGATTATTGCACAGCTTCAGTTGAATGACGGTCTCCTTATTCAACCAGCCCCTGTCCACTCGTTCTTGGTTGTCGTAGTGGCCGTACTCGTATGGCTCATCTTCCATCGTGGGCGATTTGACATCGGAAGCATCGATCATCCTGGGAACGAGGTTGGTTTCCCAACTACGCACGATTACTTGGAGACCCGGGTCGATGATGATGCAGACGCAATACCTGGACGGAGGAAAATCCTGATAAACACTGATACAGTTGCAACTAAGCTGTTCTATACATGGTAAACGTTTCTAATTTGCTTCAAGGTCAAAAGGGAAAACCAAAAATGTGGCTTATGATTATAGAGAGTTTTTAGAACGATGAACTCTTGACTGTCATGACTGGTGTATAGCTGAGTAATCATTTGCAGTTACTTAGAAAACAATGGTAATATTTCTGGTAAATTCGAAAATAACAGGAAAAGTTTATTCCGGGGGTCCACAAAGTTGGGACTTTACACGGGGTATTGATATTTAAAAAATAAGCTGTTTTCCTGGCAGTATATACACCAAAGTGTTAAGATAACAGAGATACTATGCTCTGCAAAATCAAACAAACCTAGTACGCTCCTGTCTCTATATCAGATCAAAAGTGAGAAGGCACGACATACAGTAATGGACAAAAGTATATAGACAAATATGAATATTTACCTAATATAATACCTCCATATAATATTGCAGCATCATCTGCAAAACTGGTTATTTTGCCAACACAATTAATTTGGTAAATATCATTTAAATATATATTGAATAATAGCGGACCTAAGACAGTTCCTTGTGGGACACCACACTTAATATACATTTCTTTACTAAACGATCCTGATATCTGCACAGATTGTGGGCGATTTGACAAATACTTTTCGATCAGTGAGTACGCGTTTCCTCTAAAACCAATTCTCTCCAATGCTTCTAATAATAATTTGTGATTAACTGTGTCGAAAGCTTTCTTTAAATCAACAAAAATGCAGATTTAAGGGATTCTGTTATCAATATTTTGATGTATTTGATTTACAATTTTAGTTATTGCGTCCGATGTAGCCTTCCCTTCTGTAAGTCCATATTGATTTTCACTTAAAATTTTAAATTTTGTGAGGTATCGAATCATTCTAGTAGATAAAACTTTTTCAAAAACCTTTGGTACACTGGATATTATTAATATTGGTCTATAGTTGTTAACATCTGTTTTTGTTCATGATTTATGTATCGGTATTATATTACCTTTTTTTAAAATTGAGGGATATACGCCACATTCAAAGCATTTGTTGATTAGGTAAGTGAGTGGTTCTTTTATGTCCTCGGCTATAATTTTCAAATGCTCGCTTTTAATACCATAGAACCCAGGACTTTTTCTATTTTTTAAGGACATAACAGTGGTGTATACCTCACATTGCTCGACTTTATCCAAAATAAATGAGTTCAAAGATCTTTTTAGAAGCTGAGTATTGGGTACATTTGCTTGTATATTACTTGCTAAATTTTCGCCTATGTCAGTAAAAAATTGTACAAATTCAATAGAAAGCAAGTTTGGAAAGTATGTTGTAACATGTTAAATACAAGCCAACTAATCTTAAAACGTGAACTCAAGGTGGTTTATTATATTATTATCAATATGATATTTCTTATATATTTTTTCTTTAACTCACAAATATGGCATTACAGCAAAATTTTAAAATTTTCAAATTAGTTTATGGAATAACAGGCTAGAAAGTTCATAAAAGTCATAAATATGTCTGAAAAACAATTGTATTCAACATGAAGATATTACTACAAAATTGAAGGTTATTATTTTAGCTGTTTAGCTTTAAAAATAAAGTATGACAAGTATACAGTTTTTTCATATCCAATCTGTGGAAGTATTAGAAGGGTTTTGTTTCCAAAGCTTTCCGACTACCATTCTGGTTCTTCCTAAATATCAACATTGGTACTGTGAAAATCTGTATCAATATATACTCAGTGACGTTAGAAGTGTTACACCCAGAAAAAATAATTTCGTCAACTTGATTTTTTTGCAATCAGGTAGTCTTACATCAAGAATGAAAAGATAACATTCTCACGAAATTTTATTGACAAAGAAAAAAATTAATAATGTGTTGGTCGACCCCGCAGCCGAATACACTCCTGTATACGTCTAGGCATCGACAAAATGAGATGATCGATGACTGGTTGTTTTTGACAAGTACTCTGTGGACGGATGAGTCCAAATTCACTATGGAAGGGATTCTAAATTTGCGCAATCTGCACCATTGGGCTTCAAAAGATCAGAACCCAAGAGTGAAGAGGCCAAGCTCTTTTCAGAGAAGAATCAGTGTGAATGTTTGGGAAGGAGTAATTGGCAATCATGTGATTGGGCCACATTATTTGCCAGATCGTCTTAACGGAGATAATTATCTACGTTTTCTGCAAAATAAGTTGCCCGAATTGGTGAATGAGGTGCCAATTTCCAATGGCGACAGACGAATTGTGTTCCAACATGATGGCTGTCCTGCACACTGGAGGATAATTGTGCGGGAACATCTAAATGATGTTTTTCCGAATGCGTGGATTGGACGAGATGGACCTATTCCATGGCCTGCACGCTCCCCAGACCTAACTCCATTGGATTTTTACATCTGCGGACGTGCAAAAGCACTCGTCGAGGTCGAGATAAGACTAAGGTGTTGTGAGTGCATACACAATAGAGGACAACAATTCGAACAAGATTTGTGAAACAGAAAAAATAATGAATGATTGAAATTTGATTTCACGTTTTTTTATTTTCCTTCCCCTGTACACAAAATTAGCAAATTCAATAAGTTGGTTAAACTTTTTTGTGACTTGTGGCATACCGATGGAATCGGGATAAACTAGAGTAGTTTTTAAAAGAATTCTAAGAACGTGAACTATTTTAGGTTTTTTTACAGAAATTCAAAATTGTTTTTTGTTCTTTCTAACCCTTTGTGAGTAAATAAATAAACAACTACATGCTGCTGGCAAGTAATGTTGATTTTGTAAGATTGGTACAACATCACCCATTAAGATAAATTAATCATTAGGTGAACATACTCTTTACTTTTATTTTTATTTTACTTGGTATATTACATTTTGGAGTTTTTACTAAAAAAAAATTAAAAAACCTACATAATTAATGCTGTTGGGCTAAAAACTGTTTGAGGGACCTGGGGTGATAGAAAAAGTCGTCCCGTGTCCGCCATTTCAATTTGGCAAACGATGCACCAAACACCCTGTATATTTCCCTCTTGACCTTTCCAGCAATATGTCTGTCTATGCAATCAGCGGCTAAAACACAGTACCTGTACAGTGCCTTCTTTCCTTCAGGTATCTCGATGACCTTGGACCAGACGTCAGAGTCCTCGTTTTCCCGTTCTAGAGGCACGCACCTTTCTGGCTGCCATGAGCCCAACTCCAAAAGATCCCCTGTCACACACACCACTTCGTCTTTATGCAGTTCAGGTACTCTGGTGCGGAACAACCACTGTCTGGGTGGGAGGTTCAGGGAGGAGACCGAAACGGAGGCGAGGCTGGCGTCGGCTTTGCCAGCCCGGATGCCGGCATTAGCTGGGTCCTCCAGAAAGAACCACCGTTGCATACTGAAGTCGGTTATCTGGAAAGAGATGGGAGTTGTTAGTACAATGAAACTGGACGTGAAGCTTGTGCCTCAAAAATTTATTTTTGGAAACTAGTGGAGAACATATCTCTCAACAAACGTATAAAGTTACATGTACTACATTTTTAGAAGGCAGATAGTTGATTGCATCATGATGATCAGTAAAAGCATTCCTGTATCTCCTCAGCCTCTATATGTGCCTGACTTTAGTCCTTGTGACTTTTTTCTTTTCGCTCAAGGGAACTCATTTTGGGACTGTTGAAAACATTCAAATGGCTGTAACTGGCCAGCTGAAGGCTATTCCAATATCAGAAATGCAGCACTGCTATGAAGGGTGGAAGAACAAACTCCAGCACTGTGTGGCTTCAGAAGGAAGTTACTTTCAGGATGATAATATAAATTTGTAATTGTATATGAATGAAGAAATTTGAAAAATCAGTCTCATCACTTAATCTACAGACCTCATATCTAAAGTATGTTGTGGGGAATAAATTAGCCAATATACTGGACTCAAAGGTGTTCAATAAGTTACCAAAGGAACTACAAAGAATGACAAATCCAAAGAGCTTCAAGAATCATTTAAAAAAGCTTCCAGTTGAAACAAAAATGTTATATTCCATGAATGACTTTCTCTCCATCTAGTCTTATTTGTTTATCAGTTTTACGTCAATTTTTAATCTGTTATAGTATACCTAATCATTTATTTATATTTTATGTATACTAGTTCTCATGTTTCATGAGTGTACTTTAGCTTTGTTTTTATAATGTGTATCTATATTTAATTTTTTTCAAATCTTTGACCATGTGGATGTATTTTACCTGCTTTAAAAGTGGTGCTATACTTGCATTTATATTATATTTTTTATATGGATCCCTGTGTGTACAAATGATGAATCATATACAAATTCTGTTTGTATACTGGATAATAAATATATTGTAACCTTTGTACTGGTATTATGCAATTTTTAAAGAAGCGCAGGTTATTATTATTTAAATCTTCAGGAAATAATGTCTGACTTTACTTGAGATACTTTTTTGCTGCACACAGATGCTTCAAAAATCAGAAAACATATTAACAAGAGTAAAACCCATGGGAATAATGTTTTGCTGTAGCCCCTTATTTGACCAAAATAGCAGATATTTCAAACCCCAAACCTTAGACTAGCTCAACAGAACAAGGCAGATGGAACATAGAATATGATTTCCCTCTTGACAGCAAGCATTCATGAGGAAACTTTTTGGTAACCAATATTATACTCCTCTAAATGAATCCATTGAATTATATTATCATATTATCTGACATTCTGACACCATAGAATCATCAGTTCAACCACAACAAATAGTAGATATCATTGCTTCCACAAAAAAACTTGCTGAGTATGCTGTATAGCACCAAGATTTGACTAGTTTATAGAATGTATTGGCAGTTTAACAAATCTGCATACATTTATTTAATAGAATTGGTAACTATTGATTTTCCTCATTTGTGAATGTAATCAAAAATAAATAAAATGAGGCAAAAATATTCTAAACTACCATTCTGCACCAGGGACTTGGATCATCACAAATTCTACAAAAATACCCTTTTTGCCTAATTACCATATATTCACTCATATAACAAAATAGGCTTTTAGGTGTAGGCATTTCAGACAGAAGGATGAAATGATGGGAAAATGACCAGCACTGCAATTGATTTCTGGCATAGATTATGGTCTTGTGTCTATATGCAGTGGGACAGACAATAATTTCAAAAAAGCAGCAAAGTAGGAAGATATGTGTTTCAAAACATCAAGCATCTTCTCATGAAGGGGAGTTCGCTTTTTACTTTTGCAACAGACATCCTTCATGGATGTTTATTTACTTGAACTTAATCCTGCATTCCTTTTCCTAACCTTAGATATCCACAGATTACTTATTTAAGATTGTAATTTTATTATTATACCTTTCTATTTATATTTGTTCAATATTGCCCAAACTGCTTTAAGGTTCAGCTTGAAATTTTTGGCAATGTCGACTTGACGTTGACCATCTTTGTATAACTCAATGATCTTAGTTTTTACATCGAAAGAAATTTCTGTACCATGCGGCATGGTCTTAAAATCACTCAACTTATTCCACAATACTTGATGAACATAAACTAATCCTCTTCTAACACGAAACTGTACTAAACTAATGTTGAAAAGAGTTTGTCTACATATTTTTGTCCCTCATAAAAAAGTGCTTATATTCAGACTTGTATTGTGTTCATTGCAGATAATGTAAAAACAAGGAATTTAGTTTTTCTACTAATAATGCATTTGTTTATGGAGCAATGAAGTATGTAGGTATTTAGGTGAATATTCATATTTGTCTATATACATTGCATTGCATACATGTCCATTGCTGTATATTGTGAACCTCCCACTGATCCTTGATTGCTCAGTTATGAGAATGTAAGCCTACACAGAACATAGTGTTTGTAAAAGGTTTTTCAGACAAAATTATCATGTTTTGTGACTTCTTTAATCAGTTCTTCTCATGAAAATAAATCAGGTAAAACCTTAAGCATATAGGCCCTTACATGGATATCATACTTATCAGTAAAAATTGTAAAAGCCCAAAGAATTGGTATTTGGGTCCTTGTGTGTATAATGTAGCATATTTTTGCTGTATTTTGATGAAGCTCAGATAATCTCTCACCAAAAATAAGAATTTGCTGAGGTCATCTGTTATTTTGTTGGTTGAACAAACTGAATCATAAAGATATGAACAAGAGGTTGCACCCTCTCATATATATGAATATTTTACTATTTTATGCTGATAAGGCGTGTGTTTATCAACAAATCCTGTTTGCCGTAAAACACTTATTAGTGAGCTGAATCTTCAATATAGGAGATAAGCACCCATGTTTTTAGACTTCAAATTTGGGATTTTATTGCAAGCTGTTTACAACATATGTATGAGGAAAAAGGTGAGAAATTTTTGTTTCATATCTACCTAGCTGAACAGCTTTCCAATACAAATGATTCATGGACTCTCCAAAACATGTGGATTTGAATGAGGTGCAGGATATTTTGATTGAGAGGTCAATATCCTACATGCAAAGTACGAGGGGTGCTTTAAATTACGTCGACAGCCTTAGGGTCTAAAAGTCGCACGATTATAAGAAATCTGGATTTACCTGCGGAATGACATGAGAAGACATGACTGGTGTTTGTATACACAAATGTCACCGCACTGTACACAAGTGAATAAAATCCATTCCTCGGTAAGAGAGTTTATTGAGAAAATAGCCGACGGTGGTGTACAGAGCGAGTTTCGGTTTCGCTTTCAATTAGAACGAGCGTTTGAGACTCCCCTGCCATCACTACAATCGCGAACCAGGCGACACAAACTGCGCGACTTTCTACAACGGATTACAGAAACTCGCGATTCGCACGCTAATCAGCGCAAATGTCAAATGTATAGTTTGGTCTGGCGTGACCGCAATACGCATGCGTGTAATAATAAGCCAGAGACGGATTATAGTTGCTGTAGTAAATCGAAATCTCCAACTGCAAAAGGCAAAAAAGCAAAACAAACAAAACGCAATGTTGTAACCACAAACACGTCACTGTCAAAATCTGACACGGAACCACTTGTGAGAGAAGCATGGAACACAGGGCTGCAAGGTTTTCCGTTACGTTGGTCACCAAGATTGGATGAGAAAATCACCAGAAATCGCATATCCACGGAGCGGGTGTTAGCTGAAGAGCGGGAGTAAGGGGGGTTAGGCATAACAATAATACTATATTCTTGAAAACCGGGGGGTGAGGATGGGGGGCACACGTGTAATCTGAACAAAACTTAAGTTCATTAACGGGGGCGGATCCAGAGTAACATTTTGAGGAGGGGACTTCTGGGAGCGAACGTTCTTGTGACAACGGGCAGGGACAATTGAAAAGAACAGCAGGACAATAATTTTTTTGCGTATTTACCTTTCCGCGGTAATCTTTTGCGGTGACTCTCTTTCTCTCTTCCGGATATGTTTTTTACACCGAAGCAGCCGCGCACGCAGAAGCCTAAATGCTAGGACACCGCGGCTGCAATAAGGATCTCGTCAAAGAAGCGGTCGTATAATTTCTTTGTTGGGAAAGATAACCGATCGCGTAGCTTATGTGTGGAAACATGCGGACATCCTGGAAAAAGCTAGCGGGTGGTACCGCCTCGGTCGACTGGTCCTTGTCTACCACCTGCTTATAGCATGTTAATGACTACGCGCGAGCGCGATCATGTAGAGGGCGTACTCGGCTATATTCGCCGATCATCGTCTATGATCGCCTTCGACCCGTGAATTGTCGGTTTTTCGGACACGCATCAAAGGGAATCGCCGGGTCATATTGACAAACTAAACTACTACGGACGCTAGTGTGAATGCTTGCACGATGATCGTGCCTGTTATGAACGATCACACGATCCACGATCATCGCCGTTGGTTTACTAGTACCTCCACCCGGCAATCGGTACTGAAGTATTTCTTAGCTCGTGTACAATCACTTGGATGGGAAGAAGTTGTATACTGAGTACAACAACATTCGGAACAAACATTTTTAAGGGCCCCGCTCAGTAGGGGTCAAGATTCAATTAAGAATAGAATGACTATATACTTTCAAGCTATCTAAAAGACAGCAAACATCGTAAATACGTCCACCTCAGTCGTTCGACGAAGTGCTTCGTTCGGGATAAAGTGTTCAAGCGTGAACCCACCTTAAGATGAGCCATACAGGGTGGGATTAGCATAATACACGTTGATAAATTAATGTTCATTAGAGAATAGTGAAATACTGTTTTTTTAATGTACGTACGTGGACCTATTTCCTGAGTTTATAGGTCCTCGTATGACACCAGGGGCCTGATTCTAAAATGAGTTTCGACAGTTGTAATTTTTTCCGGTGGCGCCTTGTGACGATACACTTGATTAGCTAAGGGAAATAAGAAATGCAGTTTATGGTTTTTAGAAAGAGAGTTAGACATTTATTTGTATATACCATGTCAGCAAAGTGATGCTATGCCATCATTACATATCAAGGGAATGGGAAATTCCAGGAAGTATATTTTATTTTGCTGTTTGAGTGAACTGTATTCATTACTAATTTTTATACTTAACCTGTATTTGAATTTCGTTACACTAATGACGGCAATAAACCAGAAACACGTGTCTATATTATTTCTTCTGGAAAGGACAACTCAGGCTCTTCTGTTGACTTAGCTCGTCCTCAATAAATTCCAGATGTAGTAAAATAGTTTTCTAATAAACATTTTTATATCTGTACTTCGTACATTTTGCTGCAGCTCTGAATACGATCGTGTAATTCATTTTTGCCAACGTTACAGACGAATATAAAGATCAGCTGTTCACGTCAGAAGTAGTCAAAACGTAATGGATAGTCGTGAAAAATACAGTAGGAATGTTTGGGAGAGAATAAGAACTACGAAATCATTTATGAATAGCATTTATTCAGAGGTTTTTTTAAAAAAATGAGAAAAAGGAAATGCTACAATATTTACACTTATTTATACATGAGAGTTACACCTCGGCGAAGCATGAAAAATGCTATAATGCTCCAACAAAAAATTTACATTTGTACATCATAATTATTACTGTATTATTTACAGAGATAGGTATCACAAATATACAAAAATAAATTAACGTATTGATAGTTTTCTTTATAACAAAAGCAAAAAAAGCCAACATAATATATCACTGGCCAAAACTTGACTAGCCGCTTGATCGGTCAAGAGTTTGCTTTTGTTATACTTCAAATCAAAATCGGAGAAAGTAATGTTGTACCTTTATGCAAGTGCTCGGCACTTGTAAATACATCATAATCCTTACAAAAGAATATCACAATTGGGTTTTGCACAATTTTAAAACAAATTGATGCAGGGCGAATACTCAAGCTGTTCAAACACGGTCGGTCAATAAAATCTGCGGTTTAAATCAGAATCGTTCTGACGTACACGATGGTTTTTCAAAAACTGTTCAATGCTCGGTCCCGAATTTCATAGTCCAACGGTGAAAGCTACTGTTTTTCAACGTGATGAACAGATTGAGTGTCATTTACATAAAAACTTTTACAGCTACGTCGGATGCACGAAGGGGCAGTTGTCCCTGTTTCTACAATAGCCGTGATTTTGTACGTTTTTACACAACCTTCCGCCTCTGTGTCCACCTCTACCTCCTCTTTTCCAGTTATTATCCGGACCACTTAACCGCACCCAATTTCCACCGCTGTTGTTATTGTTATTTCCTCTTCTATTGTTAAATCCGCCCCTTGGCCTAAAGTTGTTCTGCTGTTGGAACATATTTGGCATGTTACTGTTCGGCATGTTGTTAGGCATGTTTGGCATATCGGGGTTAAACATCGGAAAATCGGGCCCTGGTGGACCACCAGGGAATCCGTCCGGCATAGGGCCCTGCATAGGTCCTTGAGGGAACATATTTGGATTCATGTTCATATTGTTCATTATATCATTGGGTGGTCCCATGTTCGGGGGTACCATCATACCACCGTTCGGCATCATATTTGGGGGAACAAAGTTGGCTGGAGGACCAAAGTTAGCCGGCGGACCGTTTGGAGGAACTCCAGGCCCAGGAAACCGAGTTGGCATTCCCTGAAAACCAGGATTGCCCATTGGGCCAAAAGGAGGTACAAAAGGTGGCATGTTTGGCGGGAACATCTGTGGGGGCATTTGGGGTTCCGGTTGGGGCGGGAAACCCTTTGGTTCTGGCCATGGAGTCGACCTGAGGTCGTACTCTTGGCTCTCCGGGTCTTCCAAAGGAATCATCACTGGATCACTCATCTGGTGATTTTCTGGAATCGCTTCTTCGGGACTGTCTGGTATACGCCGCTTGTCAAAGTATATCGCTGGCAATACACTTTTTTCTCTTGCAAACTGGATATCTTTTTCTAAACTCTTGGAACCAGGGGCAGCTAACGGACCTTCAACGTCTAACATAATAGGTATCCTCCACATAATTTGAGGCTCCATGTAATCATCACCTCCCAGTTTCCTTGACAACTGAAGTCCTTCCCTTTCATGTTCCATATCAAACTTGGACATATCGCCGAACGTTTTTGTGACATTCACCCTTTCAGTCTCGTCCAATTCAAAGTACCTGATCTCCACCAAATCTGTATCTTTCTTCCACGTTATTGTCTTCTTAGGTCCTTTCTTTTTCGAAAACAGAAGCACTCCTTTCAATTCACCTGCTAGTCTAGTCCTCTTTGGCGTCTCTACTTCTTCAGGTTCATTATTGTCGTCCGTAGGAGTCGAAGGCGAATCCTTTTCTGGACTAGTTGGAGTTGCTTTGTCGTTCGTATCATCCTCAATTTCAGCATTGTTCTCCTTATCCTCATCCTTAGTCTCATCAGTCTGTTCCGACAAAGTGTCCTGATAGAAGTTGATAGGTGCGATAGTTTTGAGCATCGACGGACTAGACATTGAACCAGTAGGTGAAGTCGGACCATCTGATCTTGCTGGCGATGAAGTTGGTGAAGCTGAAGCATCTTTGCTCGAGCTAAGTCTCCGTTTTCGTTTCTTTGGCTCTTTCTTGGTTGTCGCTGCAGTCAAAGCCTCGTTAAACAGATCGCTCTCTTGAAGCATCGCTGCTGAAACAAAAACATGTCATAAGATTCTTGTAACAGAACTGAATTTGAGCAACGATCGATTGATTTCCCTGACACAAAAGTTTGTATAAATATACAAATCAAAAAATAGAATATCAGGAAAACACGTTTTAAAAGTGTGGGGCCATCAATTGATCTAAATTCTAAATGATCGAGATATAAATGCATATACAAAGGGGTATTCAGACTGGCAAGGCTGAAATAAAAATGGTCGTATGAGGAAAATGGTATACGAGTCTGCTGCAATAAAAAAAAGGTAAATGATTCATTCTGTAAAAACAAAATTTCACCTAAAATATATTTTAAAATGCTGTCAAAATATCAGATAATGCCGTTACATATTTGCAGTAACTAAAAGATAATCAGAATTAACTAAATAACAATACGCACATACAAATTTCAACATCATAGATTGATATCTTAATAATATCGTCATAAAATTTATTTTGCATTCTGATTCCTAGGTATTATTGCCGTTTTCAAAATACAACTGTTAACTTTAATTGTAATATCCACGCGCTGATAATGAATGGGCGTAGAGAAGTGATTGGCAAGTTTTTTAACATCGAACATCTCATACCAGAAAAGATAATTTTTTTCAATTTCCATGTTTTCATGTTTACAGATGACAATAACTGTAATATTGAATGTGCCTTTTCATCTATTGGAGAAAATCCCAACACTATCTCATTATTTACAAAAACTGTAAAGCTCAGCCAAAGTTTTTTGATTCCATATTAACTATGCATATGATATACCCAAAGTTAATTAATTAATCTGGAGTCTATAGAAATTAGTAAGATCTATTATCACAAAACAAATATTGTGAACATATGATCTTCAGCTTGGAAAATATCTAAATATAACTTTGTTTCTGATAAAACCCTATGCTTATATTAGTAGAAAACGTGGTCAATAGAAATAAATATTAGTGAAACTCCTATTAGTCTTTTTCTA